GGATGGGTATAGGGCGGCCGGAACTGAACGAGCTGAACCACCCTAGGATGGGTATAGGGCGGCCGGAACTGAACGAGCTGAACCACCCTAGGATGAGTATGGGGCGGGGGGCTGAACCGTCTATCACTAATCAGAGGTTGATGAGTTATGGTCCAGCCCTGCATGGACCTGGGTTCCATACGGATTCGACGGGATTTGCCTCTGGTCCGTACCACAGGTATTCACAACCTGACTCATCATCAGGTGGTTGGCTGAATGAGTGATCAAATTTTATATATTGTATGAATCTGCATCGTGAATTTTTTCAAAATAATAATTTAAAGACGTTGTATGTTTGTTGTTAAATAACTTAGTTTTTATTGGCGATTTTATTTTACTTTTTTAATTATTTTTTAATGAATCATAGATAACATGAACAACCTACTGAATTTTATATATTTAATTTGAATTTTATATCCGAAAATTATATTTGGATGGTGGAAGTAATAGCAAAAAATTGTAAGGAGCATTACATAATAGCTAATTCTTTTATATAAAAATATTGTAATTGGGTAAATTGTATGAAAAAATATCGTATTTTAATTTGATTTATATTTTTGGTAATGTACTTTCGAACTTCTATTTTGGTGTTTATAATGTAAAGTTTTTAACATTTAAGTACCTAGGTAACCGGTTGAAAATTAATTTTAAATTAAAAAAAATACTAATTTTAGATTTAAAAAATTTTATGTTACTAACCACGTCAGCAAATAACTCCGAGTTGGATACCACATCGTTCTCCACATCAGCATGATAACCGGTTATCCGGGTATTTAAATATTTAAAATTTTACATCATAGGTACCAAAATAGAAGTTTTAAAAGTATGTTACCCAAAATAGGAATCAAGTTAAATAACATTTTTCGTCATGTCTCGAAATTACAAGTAAATAACATTTATCAAAAATAACATTTTTCGTCCTGTCTCGAAATTACAAGTTGGTAATCATGATTTGCAAAAACGCGCGGATTTGATTCCTTCCTCTAGCGTTGGTTAAGAAATTCGTTTAAACGATGGGCGTTTTTGGCCTTTTATTGATCTTTTTGAGTTTTACCCAATCAAAATTAATTTTATGATTTTTGTTTAGGTAAAAAATGGATAAAAGGACGAACATCTTTCTTTATTTAACATAATTTTATATTAAACGTTAGAATGAGGCATTAAATTCGGACGATTTTGCAAATGGAAATTGACCGAAATGGCTACTCCTCTCTTATGGGTTGATCTTCTTAGTTATCCCTCTCCCTATTTTACCCAAATGTCATTACTCTGCAATTGGGGTTGTTTGGTAGTTGTTGCATGGTTAGGTGCACAATGACTAAGTGGTTAAAATGATTAAGAGACTCTCATAATATAGTGTAAAATAAAATATAATTTTTTGGCTTAACAATATAATTTTTATAAAGATAATGATACAGTGATATAGTCGTAACCTCGTTAGAGTTTGGAGGAGGGCCTGAAGATGGGGTTGGGTTTTTTTTTTTCTCTTTACTTTTTTGTAAATAAATATTTTAATAAGTTATACATATATTATAAGGACTCGTTAAAAAAGTCAATAAAAAGACAAAAAATGTCCATCATCTAACGTTAATGGACCATTTCTGCAGCAAATCTAAAACTTTAGTGACCATATTTACGATTTTGGAAAAATAATGGCAAAAATCAAAAAATTTGATAAACCTAGAGAACTATTATTGTAATTTACGTGGTCAGCCTCGGTCCCTCTATTTGTTTTAATTGCATTAAAGTTCCTATACGCACCGTGTGGGCGTGTGGTGTGCAACAGTTTTCAATTTTAAGGTTAAAAATGTAATCATTTATAAATACAGGGCTATTTTGGTCATATGAACCCCTTAAAGTCAACAAAAGTACATTTAAACACTTAACTACTTTGTCCTATTTAAGGCATAAAGTACACCAACAATCTTGGTCATCCAAAGTTATCATAACTTGATCTTCAAGCAACAAAAAGTCTGAATGAATTCATGTTCCATGCCTGTTTTCATTAAGCTTTCCAAAAATACCTCACAAACGAGCCAATCAATGTTGTGAAAATGTTAGGGGTGTCATTTTTGTGGTTGAATGGGGACAACACATCATTTCTATCTGTGCGATTAAGTCATGTTCTGTGCGAATAAGTCGTAAGTAAACAATCCAAATGAGCTGTGCGAATAAGCCAGATAGACCAATAAGTTTAATTAAGACGCATGTAAATAAAACAGGTAAATCACAACTTTTAGTTTCATGACACAAGAAATGGAAAAATAAGATGATAAATGACTCAAAATTGAGACATAAAAGTAAAATTAGTTGTCTTAGAAATAGCAAATGAGTGCTTATACATTGAATAATCAATACATATCAATATACTTTTATAACTTTTTATACAAACCATTACATTTGAATTTATGTTCTATAAATTACCATAAGGTTTTTTTTTACCAAGTTTAATTTTAACAACCGTTAAATTTTTTTTTTAGATCACAACAGATAATATAGTTCAACAAATAGTTTTTTTTATTAACTTGAATATTCAATCCACTATGTGAGCCGACTAATTCCAGGACAACCACCTGTTTTGTAAATAGCCCGGAGTCACCGCATTTGAACCTCCGTGGCCACAAGATGATTTTTATTCATCCTTGGATTTGAACCTGGGACCTCCAGATACTTTTGACCTTTGGAGTCAAGTTCAAACCAATCAGACATCAGCCTAAACCCAAATAGTTTAGATATATAAGTTGTAGAAAATAAAAATCGAGTAAACTACAAATTTGGTCCTTGTGATTTATCGAAAATAACATTTTTCGTTTTGTCTCGTAATTACAAGTTGATAATCATGGTTTGCAAAAACGTCAGGATTTGATTCATTCCTCTAGCGTTGGTCAAGAAATTCGTTTAAACGATGGGCGTTTTTGGCCTTTTATCGATCTTTTTGAGTTTTACCCAATCAAAATTAGTTTTATGATTTTTGTTTAGGTAAAAAATGGATAAAAAGGACGAACTTCTTCTTTATTTAACGGAATTTTATATTAAACATTAGAATGAGGCATTAAATTTGGCCGATTTTGCAAATGGAAATTGACCGAAATGGCTACTCCTCTCTTATGGGTTGATCTTCTTAGCTATTCATTTCCCTACTTTACCCATATGTCATTATTCTATAATTGGCACGTCCTTAATTTGCGGAGGTAGCTAAAAGACAAAAAAAAATTACAATATCAACCCAGGTCTGTAGGTGGCATCTCCGTAATTTCTGCCAGTGACGGACCTATAGTAGAGCACACAGTGGCACGTGCCACTGTATTATTCCTCCGTCGAAGGTAAAAAAAAAATAGGTTCATAAAAGGTGCAATCGTATTAATTTGTTGTGTGTCACCGTATGTATTTTGGAACTACAATGAAAACAAGTTTTATTTGGTAGAGTTGGTTTGCAAAGTTTTTATTCCACTACAGACCCAAGTTCGAATCCAGTTAGTGTTATTTTCTTAGTCAAATTGTGTCACCATTTGGAAGGAAAAAAAAAGTATGTACATTTTTTTTCTTTTAGTCAAATGGTGCCACAATTTGAAAAAAAAAAAATTCTCTATATTTTTTTCCTATAGTCAACGGTGCCACCGTTTGAAAAAAATTCTGGGTCCGTCTCTGATTTCTGCCCAGGTTTGTAAGTCATGGAGGTGACACTTCCCGACTTGGACATAAATTGTAATTTTTTTTAGCTATCTCCGCCAATTATGAAAGTAGTGACATTTGGATAAAGTAAGAAGAAAAATAGCTAGAAGATCAATTACAGATAAAAAAATGATTATATCAGTCAGTTTTCCTTGTAGAAACAGCTATAGCCATCTTGTAATTTTAAAACTGCATATATGTTAATTTTGACAAATCATATATACCAAATTTATAATTACTCAATTAAATTACATACCAAACCTTGAAGTAATTCTAATTTAACAGAATTTTTAACGTCGGTTAAAAAATAAACGGAAAGTGTGATTCTTGACGGACCAACCAATTTTGTCGTTTACTCCAAATAGAAAATTCAATCTTATACAAATATGTCAAAAAGAATCAGGACTTGAAATGAAAAATCCCTCCACACCATCTTCTTCATTGACCTAACCCTCCTCTTCTGCAAATCAAACACACCGACGCCATGGAAGCTGTCTTCAAGAACAGCGTCTTCTACATATCAACACTCACTGCATCGCTTTCCTACTGCTATTTCTTCTCTTCAAAGCTCTCTAAAGGTATTTTCAGGTTCATCTCTCTTTTTCCAATCTTCTACCTCTTTGCCATTCTTCCTCTCCGCTGCTCCTTCCTCTTCCCCACCGCCGTCTCCTTCTCCTTCACCACCTGGCTTACAAACTTCAAACTCCTCCGATTCGCGTTCGATCTCGATCCATCACCGTTTCAACCTTCTGATTCGCTTCTTCGATTCATCACCGTCGCTTCCTTACCAATCAAAACGAAAAATTCAGATTCCGATCGTTCCGCCTCCGTCAAAAGTTCGCCGGAGAGATTTCTGTTCAAATTAGGGTGTCGGATCCTGATTTTCTCCATACTTGCAAGTCTAGTCCAGAATTACAGATATCAGTTTCATCCGAAGATCGTGTTGGTAATCTACTGTGTTTTGTTGTTTCTAATAATCGATATCGTCGCCGCCGTGGCCAACTCTCTCGTGATGTTATTGACCGGATTTGAGCTCGAACCGTCGTCCAACGAGCCTTATTTTGCTACATCGATACAAAATTTTTGGGGAAGATGGAACCTCTTGGTAACAAATACGCTGCGCCACACCATATACAAACCCGTCCGGCTAACCTTTGCCGGCCATTATTGGGCGCCACACGCCGGCGTAATTGCGTCGTTCTTTGTTTCGGGATTGATGCACGAATTGTTCGTTTACCAACTGTCACGTGAGAAGCCTACGTGGGAGATGACATCATTCTTCATGATCCATGGAATCTGTGTGGTGGTGGAGATGATTGTGAAGAGACATCTGGCAGGTAGGCGGTGGCGGTTACCACAGTTTGTATCGACGCCGTTGACGGTGGGGTTCGTGGCGGCCACCGGTTTTTGGTTGTTCTTTCCGCCGCTGATCAGAAGTGGTGTAGACATGAAAGTGCTTAACGAGTATGAATCTGCGGTTGGTTTTATCAAGAACAAACTCATTTCAGTTTACTCATTTTAACACACAAAAAAAATTATAATTTTATTTTAATAGATTTTAATTTTTTGTATTTTAATTTTATTTTAAAAAATGTAATAATATTGAGTTGGATACCACATTAACATGTTTAACCGGTTACCCGGGTACTTAAATGTTTAAAACTTATACATCTTAGGTACCTAAATGGAAGTTCTGAAAGTGCGTTACTCAAAATAAGAATCAAGTTAAAGTACGATATTTTTTAATTCAATTTTCCCTTCTGTAAAATCTACATAAAGAAAACTAACGGTTCAGATATTTTTCTATAATTTATTATTATTGCTCGATCAATGTATGTAGATAATAGATTTATACAGTATTTTAATAATATGACTGTTGAAATCTATAAAATAGAGAACCTGTTAGAATTGAATGCAAACTTTTGTAAGATTTTAACTTTTACTTCTTTATTTTAGAGAAATTATAAGATATCTGTAAAATATGCTCTAAGTTACATATCAACCTTCGACAAGGAGAATTTATAAACAAATACAAATTATGGGTATCGTCATCGATATTCAGATATATCAAAAGATCTAGTACGTAAATTCAAGATCTCACAATCAACATCTTGACCTAAAAATGTAATATTTCTCGACAAAATCTGTTGATTAGCCTTGCATCTTTTAAAACTCGTACATACGTCTTTTGACATATACAGTTACCACCTCTTTAGTGGCTACTATATATTGTATTTATGTTTTGTAAAGACTGTTATATTAACCATAAGGGTGGTATCCGATTGGTTTGAGCTTGGACTCTAAAGATCAAAAGTGTCTAGAGGTCTCAGATTCGAATTCAATGAGTAATAAAAATCCTCTTGTAGGCACGCAGGTTCAAATACAGTGACTTTGGACTACCCGCGAAGTGGATGCTCGCCCTGGGATTAGTCGCCTCGCATAGCGGGTTGGATATCCAGGTTAATAAAAAAAGGTTCAAAGACCAGGAATTATAATTTCTAATACGAAAGAAAATTTGAAACACCAGAAAGAATTTATAAAAATCTGAAAACTGTTTCTACGTGTTTCAAATTAGGTCGACATCGTTATATCCTCATCCCGACATGCAAACGAACTTCTTCACGTCTCCAAAGTATAAATTAAAAACGGTTACGTTCGAAAACCTATTGTTATAAAAATAAGTTATATCTAAAAGATATAATTATAAAGAAACTTATACTCTTTAAGCATTATTTCACACATGTTAAATTCTACTATAAAAGCAAAATAAAAATATCAATCAAAACAAATAAATTTGTTTTAAATAAAGAGCAAATTGCATGAAAAAATAACGTACTTTAATTTTATTCATATTTTGGGTAACGTACTTTAAGAACTTCCATTTTGGTAATTGTTGCCCAAGATGTAAAGTTTTAAACATTTCAATACTCGGGTAACAGGTTGAATAATTAACTGGTTATCATGCTGATGTGACGAGTGATGTGATATCCAACTCAGTATTATTTACTGACGTGGTTAGTGACATGAATTTTTTTAATCTAAATTTAGTCTTCAACCAGTTATCCGGGTACTTAAATGTTTAAAACTTTACATCTTAGGTACCAAAATGAAAGTTTTGAAAGTACGTTACTCAAAATAGAAATCAAGTTAAAGTACATTACTTTTTCATACAATTTGTCCTTAAATATATAGCAAAAAAAAAAATTCACTTTACTGAATTCAATTACAAACATCAATAAATACTAAAAGGAAACATATTAAACGGAGAAAGATCAAACGTAGGGGTTAACGGCAATGATGGACTGTAATGGAGAGCGGATGCTGATAGGACGCCAAGAGGGAACAATAACGATGGATTCAAGAGGTTTGAAAGGCGTAAGATTTGGAAGCGGTAAAACTAATTTGATCTTTTTTTACTTTAAAAGCTTTATAACCCGTTACATATCGTTTTTTTGGTTAATTTTTTTAAAGATATATTTAGAGACTTTAGGGGCGGTTTACCCAACATTTATCCGGTAAGTGCTTAGTAGTAATATTCAGTAATATCATTTACTTACTGGGTAAGATTTTAGTTTACCAAAGTGACATCATATGCAACAATTTACCCATGTAAATGTTAACCGTGGTAAGAATCGTCGCTCTCACATGGCAGGTAAGATTCACGATCCTTGTCTTCGCTCTTGATTTTTTTGGTTCTTGTCATGTTCATCCGATAAAGTAATGTCACTTGGTAAGCACTTACCCAGATAAACATCTGGTAAAGGGCCACTTAGGGACCGTTTACCAAACGTTTACCCGGGTAAATGTTTACCAAGTCACATTACCTTACCGGATGAATATGGTAAGGACCAAGAATCTTACCTGGTAAGAGCGAAGCAAGGACCAGGAGTCTTACCCGATAAGTAAGTGTGACTACTCTTACCACGGTTAGCGTTTACCGGGTAAATTGTTGCATATAATGTCATTTTAGTAGACTAAAATCTTATCCAATAAGTAAGTGACAGTATTGAATTTAATAAAAAATTATAATTTTTTTGTTTAACTTTTCATTTTTTCAATACAATAATTAATTTGTTCCATTTATTTAGCTGAATACGAATATTGGTCCAATAAAGTTGAAGGCCCAATTAGTGTTATTGGGCCAAAGCCCATAAAGAACAAGCCGTCAAAAGGTTTATCGGGTCGGATCTTTGGAAGGTAGTTGATAAGTTAAAAATCTGTTTCGAAGAGGAGCTCCGAGCAACCACAAGGAAGCGTCGCCGGTAGCCGGAGATCGGGTTCGTTACTCTATCCTCCATTGATTATTATGCTCTCTTTGATTACTGTACAAAACTTGGGTGATTTTTGTTGTTCTAATTCGATTAATTTTGTGTGATTTATTAGATTTAGCACACGAGTGTCGGATTTGATTGGCGATATCGATCTAACGATGGGGTTTATCTTTACAACCCTAATTTTCATTGTGATCGGAATAATTGCGTGTTTCTGCACTCGAATCTGCTGCAATAAAGGCCCCTCGGCGAACCTGTAAGCTTTGATTTTACTTCAGTTGGTTTTAGATGTGGTCAATGCTATGTTGTTCTTGATATTGTGTATATATGCACGATTTCATATGAATGTGGTGTTATGATTGTTTGTGATTGCTGTTGGTCGACATTACTTCATTGATTGAATTTGTTAAATTTGTGCTTGATATTTGTTCAATTGAAACCAAACATCTGATCGTGTTTTTCAGTTTTGAAAACATTGATCCAAAGATTAGTGAATTCGGAGAAAGTCCTTGATTTTAGGAACTATTCAATCACTTATACCAAAAACTATGAATTATGTACTCTTGATCACACTACTATCTTAATGAAGCCTTCTAGGACCAACTGCTATGCTAAAAGTTCCATATAGCCTTTCTTTTTCACTTAAGTTGTTTTAAATTTGGTAAGTTGAGCTGCATCATATGAAACTGGTTGAAATTGGTTGTTGTCTGAGTAGAAACTTGTGTGAAACAGTTGCTTGAAACGAAAAAAACTTGGACCAACCATCTTCCATTGTTGCACTGTAAAAAGTCGGTACTTAGATCCATGGCTTTGCATTAGGCATCCTTTGTTGTTACTCTCTATAACAGACTTTCAACTGCAGTTTGTGATTCCTCAAAACATGGATGCATCATGTATACTGAGTGTCTTGTTGTGAAATCATTTGAACAGTTCTTGAATACATAGCCATTGGATATTATTCTATTGGGAAATCGACCAAAATAGCCAATATTTCCAACCAAATTCACTTTGTAGCAATTTTTTCAATCAAATTCCCATTTTAGCTGGAGTTTACGCAAATGCGTAAGGCATTTGCATAACGCCTATTTTCAGATTTAAAAAAAATCTTCACACAAATTTGCATAAAAAATTTGCATAAGGATCCCCATTTGCGTAAAAAAAAATTAATTTGAAAATAGGCTTTATGCAAATAGGCAAGGCATTTGCGTAAAATTTGGCTAAAATGGGAATTTGATGCCAAAAGTGGCTAAAAGTGAATTTGGTTGAGTAGATTTTCTATTTTGGTCAATTTCTCTATTCTATTTTATCTGGCTATGATGATTTTGGTTCTCTGCATATTCTTCTATCATTTGAAAGCCTTTCATATCATAAAGTTGTCATGGGACAAATATTACAATATAACTATCCAAAGTATCTATGTTAGATTAGTGGCTAATCAGTACCATTTACCATTCATTTTAAGTCTGGCTGGATGTGTTTAATATGTGTCCGCTTACACAAAGAAGTACATAGCCGAATGAGTTTGATGGATGTGTTAGGTTTACTATTATCACAGTATATCTCAGTGACTAATGACATATACACAAAGTTCATATCACAACTTTGATAAATATTAACATGTCTTTATGTTGCAGGTTCCACCTTACATTGGTGATTACTGCTACCATATGCTGTTGGATGATGTAAGTTTTGCTCCTTTTTTTAAATTTGAACATAATATAGTATCTTGTCATTTTGTTAATATCTCAACCTCTAGAAGCCTTTTCCCTCATGTGTGGATCATCTATGAGTAATTGAGTATATATAGTGGCAACTTTTTATCAAGATAAAAACGTTGTTTTGCTCTCATAACGAGTTATATGGTAATGATAAGATAACTCTTTATGTTAAGCAGAACACCGGTGTTGAGTGGTCCGGTGTTCTGCTCCTATGTTATAATTATGATGCTTCATTGACGCATAACATGGGGTTACATACGACCATAAGAAACAACATTAATGCATTTATGCAAGTTTCATCTGGGACCTAGGTAGCACCACTCATAGGCTAGTCTGTATCACTTAGGCTGCTAGTTCGAAAACATTAGCCAAAATTCAGGTTCCGGGTGCTGGAAATTGATCAAAACTGAACACAAGAGGGAAAGCCTGCAGCTACCTTCTATATTGAAGTAAATAATATTTATATACGACAAATACTCACGCACACTATTCATATGTGGTGAGATTTCAGCAACAAGGGAGCTGTCAACCCCGGTAAGCATCCATAGCTAAATTTTGAACCCTCGACCTCCTAGGAGGCTAGAAACCCGGGTACCGTTAGGCTAATGACCCTTTGGTAGCTTGCACCTACTTATAAGTCACCAGTTTTAGTAAAATCTCATTTTGGACCATGTTTTGACTTTTGAGGATCCTATTGGAGCAGGAAAATGCAAGAAGAACTCCAAAATCTCCATTTGAGATTCTTTTGGAGATGCTTAATAATATAAAGAATATGTTCGGTTTCCTTGCCTCCTTGTTATACCCAATTTTTGCAGAAGACCATGGCTGTCTTTCATATCTTTTCTATGTTTCCTTGTTCCTAATTATGGTTTTATGTTTTGAAGACAGTTTTCTTTTTCAAAATTCGGCATAGCTTCCTTTCTAGTCTCAAGTTAATCACTTTCGATTTCCTTTCATATTTTCAAATTCTTAGAACTTTGTGGGCTAGATTTCTTTATCTCGCACAGTTTTCACAAGCTATGGGTTATTATTGAAACAACCGCTCTACCCCCTTTGGGTGTGTTTGGTACGTGGATGTAACTAGACAAGAATGGACTTGACGAGCGAGAGTGAGGTAGGTGGGTGAAAGAATTATAAAAGGTTATATGGTTTTAATTTGACATAGGTAGTTTAGTAATTTACCAATCTTGTCACATCTTCTTGATTTTTGTTCCAATTATTTAGGTAGGACCAAAAAATGTTGCCTTTCCCAATCTAATGTCATGCCAAACATTTTTATGTTATGTCCCGTTTTGCATACCAAACACACCCTTACTATAAGTTCGCATATATTCCATCTCCTAGACCCCACATTTGCATGAGATATACTGGACTTATTTAGTTTGGTCATTGTGTTCAGGCGTGGACCTACCCTTACGAGGGTGGTTGCCTATGAAACCACTAAAATGATGAGGCTAAGTATAAATATTTTTAGGACCTTAAAAAATGTGCAACCATAAGTTTTTCTGGGTGAAACCATGAACATTAAAAGTTCAGATGTTTTTATACAAAAAATTGTGATGCCACTCTGAAAAATTTCTATATCCGCTTCACTATACGTCACTTACCCCGCCGCGTCCCCCGCTACGGGACTTTAAAAAGGGTTGCTAACTCCCGTTCATTTTATATTAAAACTTAATTTTAACCACAAGGGTTGTGGCGTAGTGGTTGAGACCCAGAGGATCTAGTAGAATATCCCATCTGCCTAGGTTCAGTTCCAGGCGTCCACATCAATTGAGGCCGCCGAGTTTATCAGGATATTACAGTCGTAATTTGCCGGGATTCATATCCAAAAAAAAAACTTAGCTATTTATTTGGGATTTGGCAGGTGGGCAATTGTTTATCTTGCACAGATGAACCCATTGATTGTCCCAATTTTGAGTGAAGGAGAGTAAACCTTACCCATCCATCCTGAGATGGCATTTGCAGCAACAGCACCCCTCTTGCATTTGTGAATTAAGGGATGAAACTGATGGATTTATTTTGATTCAAATTATTCAAATATGTTAAGGAATTGCAAACATTGCTGCATTCTTTACTTCGGATTTTATAGGAAGTAGTTTTCTTGTTCAATTCTTTGAAGTTTGTGAAATTAAATAATTGATGTTTATTCATTTACTTTCAAGGCTTCTTTACCTCTTTATTTTTGGTATTTCTTCACATATGAAGAAGTTATTATATCATCCTTTTTTTGGGAGTATATAATATTTGTATACAACAAATAAACTCACACATCTTATTAAAGTATAGGGACTTTAGCCATGATTTTCGACATACCACAAGGACCAAAAGCATAGTTCACTCTAATACTTATCATTAGGAGTCAACGCTATAATTTATTTTACTGGGTAAGATTGTAGTACATCAAAATGGTATCGTATGCAACAATTTACCCGGTAAGCAACCATAAGGGTGGTGCCTGATTGGTTTGAGTTTGGCTCCAAAAGTCAAAAGTACCAGGAGATTCCAGTTCAAATTCAAGGAGGAATAAGAATCCCCTTGTGGCCACGAAGGTTCAAATGTGGTGACTCCGGGCTATCTACAAAGCAGGTGGTAGCCCTGGGATTAGTCGGCTCGCATAGCGGGTTGGATATCCAGGTTAATCAAAAAAAAAATTATCCGGTAAGCACTTATCATTAGGAGTCATTACCCTCATTTACCGAGTAAGGGGCCATTTACCAAACGTTTATCCAGGTAAGCGCTTACTCTTACCACGGTTAGCATTTATCGGGTAAATTATTACATTTGATACCATTTTGGTGGATTAAAATCTTACCCGGTAAGTAAGTGATAATGTTGAATTTTGCCGGTAAAACTTACCTAGATAAGTGTTTGGTAAATGGCCCCTAAGACTCCCCATCTTTATCATTGGCTCTTATTGGGTAAGATTTTTTACTCTTGTCATGTTCATCCGGTAAGGAAAATTACTCGGTAAGCACTTATCGAATAAGCGTTTAGCAAACGGCTCCTTATTAACGATGGTTCTTTTTTTCCTTATTCTCCATACTTTTTATACAAGCCGGGATATTTATAGAAAATTATTATTATACCAAAATAGATGATAAGTCTGCATTTATCCCGATCCTATATTTTTTAGGATATATTGTATTCGTTTGATTTTATCCATTCAATTCTTAGGGGGTGTTTGGGATTGCTTATAAAAACAACTTATTGACTTATTCCGGTGTGGTACCGGTAACAAGTACTTTTGAGTGTTTGGATAAATAACTTATACCGGTACCAAATCGGTAATAAGAAGTTTTTGAAGAAGTTAAATCCTTCTGACTTATAATAAATTGATAAGTACTTTTGAAAACCCCATTTCACCTTGGTAATGTGAGTGACTACCATACTAATCCTTCCGTGGTACTTTGTAATTACAACATTTGAATTGATGTGTAGTCTTTAAAAATTGTTTAATTATTTGTCACATATTAAATAACAAAAGCTTATGTTTTTACACCGTTTTTTAATACAACTCGGTAAAAAGCTCACATTTAACATGTTTATATGAATCGCTTGTTTAAAAACATCATGTTTTTGTACCATTTTTCGAAACAACCATGACAAAAGTACAGGTTTTTACACTATTTTATGGAACAACTATGAAAAAGAAGTCACATTTTTACACTATTTCCACGTAGCAACTGTATAAAAAGATGACATCTTTACATGTTTCTACGAAATAACAATAACCTTTTTACACGTTTTACGAAATAACAATCACCTTTTTACACGTTCTACGAAACAACCTGTAACAAGATTATGCTTTTTTTATTAACCTGAATATCCAACCCCTTATGTGAGCCGACTAATTCCAAGGCGACCACCTGCTTTGCAGATAGCCCGGAGTCACCGCATTTGAACCTCCGTGACCACAAGGGGATTTTTATTTCTTCTTGGATTTGAATCTGAGACCTCCAGATAATATGATTATGCTTTTACAATGTTGTACGAAACAACGATGTAAAAAGCTTACATTTCTACTCGGTTCTACAAACCAACGGCGAAAAAAGATCATATATTTATATCGAGCTATGATACAAGTGTGTAAAAAGATCCAACTTTTACACGATTCAAGAAAACAATCGTGTCAAACACTTATGTTTTAATCCATTTCTAAATGCAATTGATATATAGTTTCCATCTATGATCATGGGTAAATTTACAATCTTACACATAAAAAACTTCCAATGCAAGAAATACAACTTTCATAAAAGATTTAAATTGCATGAAAAAGTAATGTATTTTAACTTGATTTCTATTTTGGGTAATGTACTTCCAAAACTTTCATTTTGGTAACTAAGATATAAAATTTTAAACGTTTAAGTACCCAGGTAACTGGTTGAAGATTAATTTTAGATTAAAAAATTCATGTCACTAATCACGTCAACAAATAATACCGAATTGAATACCATATCATTTAACACATCAACATGATAACCGATTAATGCTTCAACCACTTACCCGGATACTTAATATTTAAATTTTTACGTCTTAGATACCAAAATGAAAATTCTAAAAGCACGTTACCAAAACAAAAATCAAATTAAAATACGTTACTTTTTCATTCAATTTGTCCAAGATGTTAAAAACAAAAATATGCTTGCTCTCAAATTACAGTAATTTGATTTGTCATATCTTCAAAGATTTTTTATATTAATCTTCAAATATTTAAAATCCCACTTCATAAAAACATAATAAAACATGCAACCTATAAAAAAGGCAGACTAATCTCAACAATTTGCGACAGTAAGATATCAATCACAACTGTTGTAGACATCTAAAATTGAACCAAGGGCAAATGAAATAATCCACCACATCGCCCTCAGGCGGCAATCTTTTGCGGCACACAACTTCCGGTTAGAAAAATTGTGTCATCTTTTTTTCCGTTAAGATACGTCAGAAATATATGACAACCGTAAGAAAAAGTGCCTTGCGATGTCAGATTTACGAGATGCAGGTAAAGTAAAGTTTACAATAAGGGAACAAAAATTGATATTCAGACACTCCAAAGACTGGTTAGCTACGCATTTAGTATCTGGCACAGAAATGGAAGCAAAGGCCAACATTTACTATTGCGGCAAATACCGAAATGGAGCTAGTCTTCTTCATTTCCCTCGGCATCTCCTTCGGAATCATCATCATCGTCATCGTCGACCTCTTCATTTCCTTCGTCTTTCTTTCCGTCACTATTTTCTGCAATAAACAAACAAAATAAAAGTACCTATAATTTCCATTTTCTCATACAACTCATTGGATTTACATATACAACATATATCACTCTCAAGAGGTAATTTGTTAGCATTTGTGTTATTTTTAGGTATTTCTATTCAAAAAAAATAAGAATTGGGTTGCGCCATATATATGAAAGAGTATACAATAATGATGTATTTTGGGGGGAGGATGGATTGTTACTGTAGACGATTTGGAAGATATAATCGGCGGCCATGTATGGAGGTTCCATTAGTATACTTGGTGGAATTTGGCATATCTTAACCAAACCCTTCGCATGGGCTCGACACGCACTTGTATGGTCTGGAGAGGCTTACTTATGCTATATCTGTCTTTGGTTTTATTGCTGCTTGTTTTGTTTGGTTCAACAATACCGCTTATCCTAGTGAGTTTTACAGACCCACTGGACCAGAAGCTTCTCAAGCTCAAGCATTTACTTTTCTAGTTAGAGACCAACATCTTGGAGCTAACGTGGGATCGACTCAAGGGCCTATCGGTTTAGGTAAATATTTAGTGCGTTCCCCGACCGGAGAAGTCATATATGGAACATCCTTGATGCTATATAGATCCAAACCAAGGGCTATTCTAATACACCATTTTTTCTTTTGGAGCCCAAATAGATGATTTGTATGCTTTTTCTCTCTCCAAAAAAACATGTCAAAAGTATACAAGGACCATAACTGAAAAGAAAAAAACCCATTAAGGTTATTGAAACACTATTTCCAGTGTTTTTCAAAAAGCTAACTTAGAGCATCTCTAATGCAAGGTTCTTACCATGAAGTCTGTGTGAAATAACAATTTCCTAGTTTTTATATATTGTATCAACTTTATAATAATTATTGACGTTGTGAAAATAATGGAACCCACAAAAAAGAGGTTCTTATAAGAACCACCGTTGTGGATTTTCATGTGATTTCTTAATTTGATGAGTTGGAAGTGAGATGGCAACAAAAAGTGCAAAAAGAAGGGTTCTTATAAGAACCTCCATTGGAGATGCTCTTATGGCAAACAAAACAGGGTTTTTCAGAAAGCTAGCTTATAGCTGAACGAAAGGGACTTTTCAATAAACTAGCTTATGGTTTGCCAATTGCCAATTGCCGATTATTGGAGCTATTATCACCTAATGGTCAGATATTTGTATTGAACTACCACCAAATGTTCATGGGACATGGGTATTGATTTATATTTTGATGAAGTGTGAAATTATAATAGGAAGAGGAAAAGAAAAGAAAAGAAAAGTTACCGTATTCACTAAAAATGACAGTGCCAGAACATAATCCTTCCTCAATCTTGATAAGCTGAAGAGTCATCCGAGGTCCAATTTCTTGAAGCTTCACAGCACTTTTAGTACAAGCCTTGTTAACTCTACCAAAATCGGTTGTTAAGCTCACTGTTGCCGCTTCATCATCTCCTTCACTTTCTGATCCATAACCAGCCCTTTTCAAAAAATTATACATACATATTATATATAATCACATTATACATTATAAGACAATTTGCTTTGTATTATGTGAGAAAGAGAGAGAGGTAGGTACTTTGTTACAAAGTCACTGACATCTTGAAGGGTTCTGAGATCAGGGACTTGATGGTTCTGCACAAACTTTCTGATTCTACGTGAGACACCAACTGGCTGCAATCTGATAGAATAATGTCTAAAATCAATAAGCTTTGTATCCTTGTTGTAATTAAGTAACACGATTCTCTGGCATGATGAAAGTTTAACCTGCAATTATTACATTTAACACCAATCAATAGCAGCTTAATAAGCTTAATGGGACTCGCASCTTATTCGGTCAGCTATACATGACTGTTTGGTAGTGGCTTAATGATATTGACTGTTTGGTAGTGGCTTATTCAGTGAGCTTCTAGAGAGGAACTTTATGCAGAAAGCCAAGTTTTTTCAAACCCGCCCCTGCCAATTAAAAAACACACTCATTCCA